AGTTGTTTGTTTGTTTGTTTTTATTTAGCAGCATAACAAAATCTATGGATTATTTAATACCGAAATCTAAATATTTTGCATGCAAATTTATTATTATTAATAATATTATTTTGGAGTTAATAAGGATTTCGGTGATTAAATTCTTACTAATTAACCCATAGGTGGGGGAAAAGAGGTGGATGCATACCTTTTCCAAGGGTATTTGTGCATGTGAATATAATGAACCTAACTGGAGTTGGAACTCAGCTCTCCGATTAAAAATTCTGAGCCATTAGCCACCTAGAGCACTTGGTATTCCCAGCAGTTACCCAGGCTTGACATTGCTTAACTTCAGAAACTAGTGTTTCAATGTGACGTGGCCATGAGCCTCTAATTTGTAATACACATGTTGGGCTGTTCCTTTTGCTGACAAACATACATTCTTTCTTACAATTTATGTTTAGTCCTTTCTTCTTTCTTTCTTTTATTGACTTCTCTAGGAGTTCCAATTCAGATTGACTTAAATGGTCTTTCTACCATTAGATCAACATAAAATGTACAGTGCTTTGAAAGTGCAAAATACATTTTATTATGACACAATAACTTGTAACTTATAGCTGATTGTGACAATTTGTATTATTGACAAATCTGGTTCATACTTCATATTATTTGGCCTTACATATTCATCCACTCTCCCTTAATTTTATTGTTTTCACATATTTTGTAAAATGACTTACAAGATATATGTTTTCTTTTCATCTAATATTTATAAACTTTAATATAGAGTATTGCTTTCAGTACTCAAACAACACACTTCTGAATGAAATCAGATATCTATCAGCAGGATGAATGTTCAGCAATGGTCTCACAATTATCACCAGAAATAGCTAACATATACATGGAATACTTTAAGGAAATGACATTAGAATCCACATCACTAGAGCTAACTCTATGGCTGAGCTATGTAGATGACATTTTCATGCTCTGGCCACACCAAAATGAAGTCCAGCTAGTACTGGACCATGTGAATTCAAAAAAGATCATCAATACAGTTCACAATGGGGAGAGAAAACAACAACAAACTAACATTCCTCAATGTACGAATATCTCAAACAGAGAATGGGTTCAAGACATCTGTATACTGCAAAGCAACATTCACTGGAAAATACCTCAACTTTGAGCCCCACTACCCATACAGAGTAAAGAAAGGGCTCATCCACTGCATATAACATTGAGCAAAAGTCATAAGAGATATATGAACATTAAAGAGTTGAATTGAAAGGAGATAACTGAGATACCCAGAAGAGGCATGGCATGTGGAACTGCAACAATCTACCCTGGTGGATGAAGTAAAGGGTTTGGTTTGAAAATTCCAATTATTGAAGAAAGCCAGAGTGTACAACAGCCAAATTATTGTGAATATTACAACAAAGATGAAGATAACACTCTGAACAATGTAAATAGTATAAATAATTACAATACCTCTCCTCATAAATATAGACAGATACAATATAGGAATTATTGAAAATGTATGATTTTTATTTAAATCTTAAAACCTCAGAATTTGCAACAACATTTTCTTTTTAATCAATTCACTCCAAGCAAGGCAATAAAGCTATTAGAATTTTACTGAATGTTAGAGAATATGAGAAAAACTGTTATTATGGAGAGAGGATGATTAAATAGCAAGAATTAAGAAGACAGGAGATAACAATATTGCATTAAAATATTTTAAGATCAGAGTTGATCGGGAAGCAAGATACCAGAAGAGAAGTTTAACAAGAAAATATTAGCACAGAACTTTTGGTTACATCTAGCCATTTCAACTGTAAAATGGTGAGACCTTGCCACCATTATAGTACTGTGCTTAAATTTATAAAGTCTAGTTATCATAGTGGAAAGTTTTTCAGAACAATTACCATGAAAGTATTTATAGAGAAGGTGCAGGGTTGCTAGATTATGGCAGTACAAAAAAATAAACATTTCATATTTAAAACAATCTAAAGAATCTCAGGATTCTTTACAAAATAATCTAAAAATAATAAACATTTTACAAAAAAAGAACACTTTTAAACCAATGTGAAAAAAAATTTCAGAAGCCTTAATTTAGTGACAAGATGATCTCATAATTAACATTTTACAAAAATGAACACTTCCCATTTAAAACATTCTGAAAAAGATAGACAGAGATTTTATCTTACCAGCAAGATATTCTCAGAAACACTTTCCAAAGATGAAGAATATTACATATTTAAATATTCAGGTCAGATCAACCTTATCCCCGCTACTGGTAACATGTAACCCAGTACAAGCTGCTGCATGGGTGGGCAGTTGGCGTCTAAGCCAGCTTCCTCTCCCACTAGCTTTTCTGCTGGTAAGGAAATGAGATGGTGGGGTCACTCCACAGAAAATAAAACAAAACCGCAGATAAGCTTCTTATAGGAGCCAATGGCCAATATGTGTGTGTGTGTATATACAAATTATATACAATTTTTATATATGTTATTTATATATTATATATGCACAGTACTTATTTGAAAGCGCTCAATATCAGTGATAGAGCTAACATATTTAGTTGAATTGATTTGAGTTTGTGACCCTGTGTTTCATGCTATTTGTGATGATCGCAAATGTCATGAAATCCAGGGTCACAAACTCACATCAATCCAACTATATATATATATATATATATATATATATATATATATATAGATAGATAGATAGATAGATAGATAGATAGATAGATAAATATTTCTAAAGAATGTCACTTCTTGAATAAGGAATGCCCAAATTATACTAACATTTGTTTAACAGGTTGAATATTTTTTAATCCTTTCATCCCAAGCAAGGCAATAAAGTCACTAAGATGCAAGGGGGATTACATGGAGTGAAACTGAGAGAAAAGACTGAGAATATGGAGGACTGAATAATGAACTAAAGATGAATGACATTCAAGAAGATAGAAGATGGTGAATCACATTGCATTGAAATTTTTGAAGATTGTATTTATCCAGGTGGCAAATAAATGGAAGGAAGTATGAGAAGTATGAGAAAACAAACTGTTGGAGTAGAAGTGTTGGTAGAATTTAACTATTTCAACAGTAAACAGGTGGGACCTAGATGCCAATCTAGTAGCACATTTAAATTCATGTAGTCAGGGCACCAGGGAAAATCGTTCATCGGAGCATGAAAATATTTGTAGAGAAGACAGAGAATGCATGTGAAACATGATTAACTAATGTAAATCAAACAAATATAAAAATAGCAGAATTTCTTTAACATTTTTTATATTTCATTCTCTGATGAAGCTTCAATAAAAGAAAAATACGTTAGATTGATAGATGTTTCCTATTTGTTCTCTATCTTATTCTGTCAGATTCTGATCCTTATTTGATCATAACACATATATATGTATATATATATATGTGTGTGTGTGTGTGTGTGTGTGTGTGTGTGTGTGTGTGTGCCTGTAAAATATCAAATATAACTAAATATTTGTGTAAAAGGACAATATGATTAAAAATAAATTTTCATTTACTCTTTATTCATATATATATATATATATATATATATATAAACACACATATATATATATATAATATATACATACATATGTGCGTGTGTGTGCGTGCGTATATATATATATATATATATATATATATATATACACACCATTTATATACACACACAAACACACACACATATATATAAAATATACATATATTGCAATATTGTGTACATATGACTATTTGATTATATAGGTATCTGAATATTTGAACATATATATATATATATATATATATATATATATATATATATATATATAAATATCTAGGATGGGCTTCCAAGCTTTGAATAGAAATCTTCCTAGAGATGGTGTCTTGGTAAAAATCTTGTATTGCTGTTAGTATCTGAGTTGAGCATCAAAAAGACCATCCAGGCTTATAAAACCTCGCCTAGAATTTTTATGTCAAATCCTTTCTCAGGCAGGACCCACATATTTTTGTGCAAGATTAATCCAGGTCCTGCCTCAACATAAAAAAAAAACATGGCTATGCATGTAAATAAAGCTGTAAAAAATATTTCAAGGTCCTCTGCTTACTGATAATATGATCTTATAATAAAAATTTGCAAAACAATGGACAATATTTAAACAATTCTGCCAAGAACTTTAGAGATCCTATCTTACTAGCAAGATGCTCAAATAAACATTTTACAAAGATGGAATCAAATTTTGAGTAAATTATGAGTAGCCTCAACTGATAGGAAAAATTCAGCTGCTTTATTCATAGCTTTCCATTGACAATTTACTTTGAACTGAATCCAGATATTATATTTTTTTTCAAATAAGTTTTCAACCAAGATTAACAAACCAAAATCATGAAGAAAAATCAGGTTCAAAATTCCAGTGTCTTAATTCCTCAGAATCTGTATTTGAATTGCTTTCAACCAATTCTAGAATATCTCTTTTTACTGCAGATTCCTTTAATAAGACGTTTAAGAAAGAAATAAATCTGTTTTTATTTGTACAAAAATGTTTCAGTTCACTTGCTTTCCTATCGATAACAGGCATGACCAAACTTATATATACTGCATCCGATATTGATATATAAGAAATACGAGGAATGCCGCATCTAACTTAAGAAGCTCTGCAGTTGCAGCAAACCGTAGTTTATATTGATCATAGCAGAATTATCTGTCTTTGTTTTCTTTTGCTATTTTGTTTTATCCTACCCCAGTTCCACCTGTTCCAGATGGTGGAGATTATAGGCACAGGTAGAGAGAGAGAGAGAGAAACTAGAGAGAACTTGAATTGATTCAGTTTAAATACTTTGTTTTATTTCATGTGTACACTCCATGTACAGCAGGTTTAGTTAAAAAAAAATCAAACAGTTATCTATAAACTGTAACAAATGAATGGATTTACTATTGGGATTTGAAAATATAGAAATACATCATAGATACAGGCAGACATACAAATAGATTTATATTACACCAAATATACAAACAAGTCTTTTGCAATGCTTTATTCTTTCTCTATCTTTCTTTCATTCACCCTCTATTCCCTTTCATTCTTTCTTTATCTTTCTTTATTCATAATCTTTCTTTCCCACTCTCCCTTACTTTCTCTTTTTCTTTCCCATTCTTTCTCTTCTTTCTTTTTCTACCTTCTCTTTCTCTTTCTATCATTTTCTTTCTTTCTTTATTCTCCTTTCTCTTTTCTTTCCTACTCTTTATTTCTCTTTCTTTCTCCTCTTTTTTTATATGTTCTTTCTTTCTCCTCTCTTTTGTATGTCTTTTCTTTCTTTCTTTCTTTCTTTCTTTCTTTCTTTCTTTCTTTCTTTCTTTCTTTTTCCAATTCTTTTCTTTCTTTCTCCTCTCTTTTTCTATGTTCTTTCTTTCTCTCATTGTCTCTGTCTTGCTGTCTTTTTATATCACTATCCTTTTCTTTCTCTTTTTCTTTCCTACTCTCTTTTTATTTCTCTATCGTTTTTCTTTCTTGCTTAGTTTTCTATCTGTTTCTTTCATTGTATTTTTTCTTGTTCATTCGTTGCCACTCTATCTATCTTTCTGTCTCTCTATCTAAAATATCCTTAAAGTTGACCGTTTAAGTAAAGGTAAAATATGGAGAATGCTAACTGATGTAATTTAACGTCTAATAAATGAAAGTGAATAAATATTGTTGCTGTAGTTGGTGAATTTTTATTTTTTTATTTGTTTATACACACACACACACACACACATATCTATCTATCTATCTATCTATCTATCTATCTATCTATCTATCTATCTATATATATATATATATATAAGATTTGAGTGTAATTGCTATTTATTATTTTATTTTGATTTGACAAAGACCCTCAGGGGATAAAACACAAGTTTTCCTTTTGTCTTTATTCATGTTTTTACAGATATATTTTATTTATATGTAATTTTTTTACACAAACACACACACAAAAACAAACAAAATCAAACAAACAAAAACAAATACACATACTCATGCATATATATATATATATATATATATATATATATATATATATATATATATATATATATATATGTATTTAGGCACCAATCCTTCATTTATGCATGTTTCATTAAAAACAACAGACAAGATACTACATTTAAGCTTTTTATTTCATTCTTATTGTGTTCAAACAAGGGCTTTCTTTTTCCAAATGTTCTATAGTTTTACCCATTATCAAGGATGATTTTATTTTTCAGTTTAATTGAGTGTGTGCATTTTGTGTATGATTTTAGTTTGTTATAGAGGTGTTTTTATTTCCGAACACAGTCAGCACATTGTGGTCTAGTTTGTAGTTAATATTGTTAAGAGTTGTGTTTTACTTTTTTATTATTAGGGCTTCCATTATTTTTAATCTTTTTTTACAAGTGGATGCAGTTATTATGTTTGTATTTTCTACTAGTATGTTTGGGATGGAGTCTAGTTGGTTTGTGTGTGTGTTTAAATGGGTTCTAATGGAGATCTGGTCATATATATATACAGTAGCGTCCAAAACTAAGGGACAACATTTTAAAACCTAATATTTGTTAGAAATAACAACTGTGAAAAGCTGAAATTTTGACAACTGGTAGTCGTTATCATCCATAATAACATACTAAAATTTGAATCATTTGCAAAGGATAGAAAAAGAATTATAACAATTATTTATTTATTTTCAAAATAGGATTGTCCAAAAAGTAAGGGACAAAATTGAGAAAAACAATGTAAACAGTATGCTATATTCAAATTTTTGATTTCCTCTAAAGAATAAGTCTTACTTAGTCATTTTGTAAACGTTGCATCAGCCAGCACCATGGCGAAACGCTTAAAACTTGATTACTCTGTGAGACAAGCTATTGTGAAGCTACACAAAAAAGCACACCATTAGAGATTTCAGAGAAAAATGAAATGTTCCAAGAGTGTTGTAAAGGGTTGTTAAATCCTACAATGATACTGGCAAAATTGTTGGTGCTTTTTAAAACCGGCAGACCCCGCAAAACTTCGACAAGAGAAGATCGAATAATGCAGCGTATGTCATTAAAGGACCGTTTTAAGTCTTGCACAGAAATTAAAAGGGTTATGAATAGTACCTCATGTGTTAATGTGTCAAGACAGACTGTTTGTAACGACGACTGCAAAATAGGGCTGTTTAATCGAACCCCATGGAAGAAACCACTTGATAACGAAGAATAAGAAGAAGAGGGATTTGCAAACAGGTATGTAATTTGGACATATGAAAATTGGGCAAAAGTATTTTTCAGTGATGAAAATATAGTTTAATTTATTTGGAAATGATGGAAAAACAATGTAAAACAGACGTATTGGTGAAAGATTAAGTGCAAAGTGTACTAAGAAAACTGTCAAGTTTGGGGGCGGAAAGCGTCATGGTATTTGGAATATTTTCTAGCCAAGGTACAACGCCTCTTGTCCGGTTACAAAAAAATGTAAACGCGCAGATCTATAAAACATTGTTCAAAATCATGTTGTGCCAATCATACAAATTCAGGTTTCGATAGGGCTACCTTTATGCAATAATGCCCCATGTCACAAGGCAAAAATAGGTAATGAGTTACCTAGCGAGCAAGATTTGGAAATTATGGATTGGCCACCGCAAAGTCCTGACTTAAATCCAATAGAAAATCTTTGGAAGACCTTAGGAGTGAAAGTTATGGAAAAAATCCAACTAACTTTGTGGGTGAAGCTTTAAGAAGAATGGTCTAAAATTAGTATCAGGATTGTCAAGAACTATTCGTTCTTGTAGTCGATGTGCAGCTGTCATTGAGAGCAAGGGCTCATTTTAAATATTGATTGTACATGTATTTTTATTGTTTTTTTTTTGCCGTTTACATTGTTTTCTCAATTTTGTCCCTTACTTTTGGACGTTCCAAATTTGAAAATAAATAAATAATTGTTATAATTCTTTTCTATCCTTTGTAAATGATTCAAATTTTAGTATGTTTTTTATGGGTGATAACCTACCAGTTGTCAAAATTTCAGCTTTTCACAGTTGTTTTTTTAACAAATATTAGGTTTTAAAATTTTGTCCCTTAGTTTTGGACGCTACTGTATATATATAAAATCAATAAAATGTGGGAACTAGTAATAAAGAGAGCTAGAAAAAAACAACAATAGAAATTGTAATATGAGCTCTGTTAAAAAAGGTTACTGACACATTAGGTTTATAAGTCCCCAAAATTTACTTTCTGATGTCCCAAAGGACACACAGCTAAAAGCATTGGTTGAATAAACCAAAAAAGTGACTTGACCCAAAGAGTTGTGAGTTCAATACCTGACTACAACAGAAGGAACAAAATCTTAAAGAGTTAATTTACTAAAGGGAATTAACTGAAACTGAGATACACAATAAAGGCATAGCATATAGAATTAGAACAATATAACACCATGGAGTAAATCATAAATCATTTTGGTTCAAAATTCCAATGCACATGACCTGAAGAGGGTCAGAGTATACAATGGCTGAAACATCATGAATATGGCAGTAAAGATGAGGACAACAGTCCAAAATGTGTAAATATTTATAATACCTGGTCTCAGAAATGCAGACAGATTTTGTAGGTTATTTAAAATATTTTTAGATTGCAAGGATTTTTTGATATAATACCGGTTTAATGATACAAGTTTTACTAATTAACCCATAGGTGAGGGTAAGGAGAAAAGGTGGATTCATTGCTTCCCAAGGGTATTTTGCATGTAAGTGAATATAACAAACATAAGAATTTGAACTGGGCTCTCCAGTTAACAATTCCAAGCCATTATCTACTAAACCACTTCAAACAGCTTCTTCCCATAAACCTCTGCTTCCAAGAGAATGTTTTCCCAATCACTACAATCTTAACCTGTTCAAGTCTAGAATTAACTGTTATCTTCCCCTCCTATCCATATAAACTACCTCTTAATTCAACTCTCTGCCTCAAGTTGCCCCTGGGCTTTATAGAGGGTGGAAAAAATTTTAGATACTGATCAGGCTCAATGTTGGTTAACTTCAGTGATCATACTGGAATCAGTGTTTCAACATGATGTGTCCATAAACCCCTAAATGTCAATTACACTTTAAAAGAAAAATAGCTATGTCTACTGAAACACATGTCTGCACTAAATACAACTTTTATATAAATAAATAAAAAAACATGATTATATCAAAACCAATGTTGCTTATGCTCATTTTGACAGAGTTTTCATAAAGTTCATAAATTCGTATCTATTAATTTCTACTGTGGATTTTAAGATTTATTGAAATAAATTGCTTTGATTTTATGAAAGAAATGTTTTACGAAAGATAAAAATGCAAAAGAGTGTGATTGGTTTTTATGTGAGAACCTGGAAATGTTTGTTTTTATATGACTTTCATTTTGGCGATTGATGCAAACTTTTCAAAATGATGCAAAAATCACATGCAGGTCAGATTATATGTGTATGGATCAGTGGTGACAATGAGTGATCTTTCTAAATGGATGCATTGCAATGGCGCCAGAATCTGATAGACTTTATTTTTGGTTTGTTTATATTTTTGAAAGGTAACAGGATAAAATCGAGATTATACTTTCAAGAGTTCAAATTTCTTATTGATTGATACATAGATATATATATATATATGTGTGTATGGAAATATATAAAAGTATTTATATATGCATGTAGGGATCTGTATATCTGAGAGTGTGCATATTTCTGCATAAATATAGCCATTTATATATCTGTATATATATATATACACACACACACACACACACATACATACATACATATACATACATATACATATATATATATATATATATATATATATATATATATATATATATATATATATATATATGTATATGTAGATACATCTGTATTTGACTGTTTGATTATATATGGGTATCTGAATATTTGAACATATATATATATATATATATATATATATATATATATTTATGGGAAAATTTCACATAGAATATATTTGTAAAAGGAAAATATTAATATATACATATACATATATATATATATATAGATATTTATATATTGTCATCCACACACACACACATATATATATATATATATATATATATATACAGATTTGTTCCTTACTGTTTAACATGCATAAAACTCAGTCATACCAAATGTCGAGCAACAAATGCATATTTATTAGTAGTATAAATTTTAGTACTTGTTACTTTACAGTGAACACTGTTTTATTACCATCAAGCTTTCACTACATAGTGTTATATATATGTGTGTGTGTGTACATACACGTATATATATATATATATATGTATATATATTTACATATATATATATATATATATATATATATATATATATATATATATATATATATATATATACATATATCTCAAAACATATATACAAATATGTATATCACATGTTTATATACATATATTGTGAATTTATGTCTGAATTTACAAATATATATTATGCATATGTAGTTATTGTCTATAAATATATGTATATAACTATATATATAAGTGTCTGTATATATGCAAGTATTTGTGTAAATATATATATTTATATATATATATGTGTGCATGTTTCTTATTTATTTATTTACTTGTATATTTTGAGTGTGCATAGTTGAGTCTA